GTGCCTGCCTTGCTTTTTCCGACCATTAGCTGGGGATAATGGTGGTGATGGTCTAGTCCCTAGCAGGATGACTTTCAACAAAGGATAGCAATAAAGATGGTTTAGGATTGTACACTGGTGACAAATTCTAGTCCTGAATGGCTCTGCCACTTGTCTCTATGTAGCCTTGGTACAATCTCAAACATTGGTTTTTCTCATCTCTAAACAGGAAATGATGTTAGCATCTGCCTGAGATTAGTGTGAGGGAGAAATAAGAGAGCCCACAGAAAGTGCTCCATCCACTTGGTTTTGTAAATGTTTCACTACAGTTACTCATTTAAATTGTTTTATTATTCTGTGTGTATAGGGTATTTTGCCCACATGTATGTTTGTGCACTATTGTGTGCCTGATGCCCATGAAAGCCAGCAGAGGGCACTAGATCCCTAGGGAATTGGAGTTGTAAACAGTTGTGAGCCACCATGTGCATGCTGGGAATCAAACCCAGGTCATCGGGGAAAAGCAGCTAGTTCTCTTAACTGCTGAGCTATCTCTCCAACCCTCATTTGTTCTCTGTGTGTGTGTGTGTGTGTGTGTGTGTGTGTGTGTGTGTGTGTGTGTATGTGTACATGTCTGTACATGTGGGCATGCCAAGGTGTTCCTATGGAAAGCAAAAAACAACTTACGGGGGGGGGGGGGATCAATAGTAAGTTCTCATCTTCTACTATATGGTTCCCAGGAATCAAATTCCAGGTCACCAGGCCTGGAGGCAAGCACCTCTACCCACTAAGCCATTATGGCAGCCCCTCGATCCACTCTTTTAAAAAGAACAAGTTGATTTGTTTGTTTTTATGTGTGTGGGTATTTTGCCTGCATGTGCATCTACACACCATGGTCACACAGTGCTGACAGGGGTAGGAAGAAAGCATCAGATCTACAGGAACTGGAGTTACAGGTGTGAGCCTCCATGTGGGTGCTGGGAAATGAACCTGGTCCCTAGAAGAGCAACCAGTGCTCTAAAGTGCTGAGCCATCTCTCCAGCTCCTTAATCTACTTTTAATGCACACTAAGAACTTAGTACCACACCTAGCAATACACCTAATAAATAATAACTCATGTGACACAAATGGGTAGTATGTATGTGCAGAAAGCTGGTATATTTCAGAAGATACACTAGAGTGTCTGTGACAGCTCTTAGGACAGGGACTATGCAAACCATTGCCAACAAATGACTTACTATCAAATCTCTCAGAGCCCCAATTCATGTTATCTGGTGTCCATGGCATCATGGCACCCATACACAACTGACATCTCCAAGGATGTGTCTTTTCTCCTTTGATAAAATTGGCAAGTGAAAAAAAAAAAAAAAAAAGCATGTAGGAGATGGGAAGAGGATTTTCTATGGAGCCTCCAAATGTGAGCCAGGAACCACTTCATCATTGGTGATTTTGGGACATGTGATTTTGCCAGCTAAGGATAGCTTTATTCACATCTACAAATTTACAGAGCTACCATCTGTGAATTTGTGAATTAGACCAGAACTGAAAACTGCACCATCGGCGTCAGCATGAGGCATGGTGGGCAAGGGAAACTGCAGGGCAGTACAGGTAGGAATGCAAGCTTCTTGGCATGCTGCAGCTGGCTCTCTGAACTGGCCCTTTCTGCATCTCTCTGCTGTCCACATGCTCTGTTAGCCAGCAGCATGTCACTGCTGTACCTGACACCTGGCCCTGCCTCCCTGCCTTGAGCCCACCGTGTGGGATTTCCTTTGCCAAATTAGACCCCAGAGAAGACTGTGACTATCTGTTTTGCAGCTCAGTGTCTCTTCAGTGAGAGCTCTTACACAACAAGGAGCTTAGTCTATTCATATCCACTGCTGCAGTCTTCAGGTGAGTGGGTTGCTAAAGCCCATCTACCTCAAATGCTAGCTGTGCCCCAACTAATTATGTGACCCTGCATAAGGTAGCAGTATGCACTTCAGTTTTCCCATCTAGAAAATGGGTATAATAGTGCACTTACTGTAGTGAGCAGTTAGGAAGCTTAAAGATTATTGTAGGCATCACGGTAGTCTTTAGATGTGTGTGGAATTAAAAAGAAACCCAGTAGCTGAGCACATTTCTGATTCATGGGCTAACTCAAGACCCCTGTGAAGTGGAACATGGTGAGAAGGTTCTTACTACACACCCTCAAAAAAAGAGGGAACGGTCACACTGATTGGCAGTCAAGACCTTCCTTCATTTATTCGTTTTGTTTTTTCAAACAAGGTCTTGCTATATACCCCAGGCTTGCCTTGAGCTTGTGATCCTCCAGCCTTGGCCTCCCAATTCCCTGTATGAGAAGTGGGTGCCACCACTCCTAGCCATGACTTTATTTCTCACCTCCACCAAAGCCAGGCAGCAGAACTCCCACAGTCTTCAGCAGCACAGCCAAACATGCAGGCACACTGCTGCCCAGTCACCCCTACCTGACACAAAGAGGCTCTCCTCACATTAGAGAGGGTCTGTCCAACATCGCTACATAACTAATGAAAAAAAAAACAGGCCTACAGAGGTTGAGCATCTGTGCTTTGTCAGTACCAAGTTTATCTCTATATGACTTGTCATGCATTCATTTTGTCTTAGATGCTCAGGGTCCAACAATCATAGTGTAAAGTCAGCCAGATCTTTAAGGGTTCTGTAGTCTAGTGTTTTAAAACCCACATTCTAGTGCACCTGATGGCATACATGTGCTACAACATCCTGCCATTCATTTGCTGGGTATGTCTTGAACAGAACACCAGGGACACAAGTCAAACACCACCCTGCCTTTAGGAAGGGTTGGTACTAAGTAAATCACTAAGTCACAGTGAAGTTTTGTTTTTGTTTTGTGTGTATGTGTATGACTGAATTATGTTCAAATATGCTAGAATGAGCATCTTTACCTACACGCCAACATGTCTTACAAGTGTCACAAGGCAGGCCTGGGATGGAGGGGTAGTCAAGGTAGGGTCCTAAAAAGTGCCCACTCTGCTGTGTTCACTAGTGCAAGGGTTTTACACTGTCATCCTGAAGTTACAGTAAGAGGACTGGGAGCTCTAGCTACTCATTGTGCAGATGACCAAACTGAAGCATGAAGAATTTCACTCGACTGTCCAAGGTAGTACAGCTGATGGACAGAAGCCTCAGACTTCCACAATGGCTTGTAAGGCTTCTTTTCAAGAACAGGCCCAAGTCCCATCACAGGATCTGACTCTGGCTCACACCTACTGCCTTCTCCCACCATCTGACTGCCACTCTGTGATCCAGCCAAACAGTGTTGCATATAAAGCACTGAGTGTACCTCTGCTGGCCCACACAGCTGCCTCTACCAAGACCTGGTCCACAATGATAAACAACTTTGACCCAATGTCAACACTCAAGACTCATTCGGGCTTTACTCCCCCAAGAAGCTGTGCTGGAGCTGGCCTCCTCTGTCTCCCACAGCACATAGAAAAACTCATCACATAAGGTATTCATGCATCCAACAAATATTTATTGAGCAACTTCCATATGCAAAACACCTTTGAGTACAGCAGTAACAAAACAAAATGCCTGCCCTTTAAGAGCGTACATTCTGGTGAACAAAACAAGCAATAAACAAACAAAACACAATGTCATGCTTTGAAACAGTAAGAGTTGGAAATGGCTGGAAGCACTGTCTGGCAGACTTCTCTCGGGATGTGGTATCTGATCAGAGGCCTCAAGAGGCCACAGAGAAAGCCACGCAAATAGCTGGGAAAGGAGTTCAGCAGTAGCAGCAGCAGAAACAGCAGTTCAGTCCTATGGATGCTGGTATTTACGGCATTTCATTCCCTACCGAACTATGAATGTCTGAAGGCGAGGGCACATCTTAACACATGTTAACTGTGACTGCCCAGGCCCAGCATACAACTTGGTATCACCCAGTGGATACTCACAAAACAAGTGAATGAACCTATGCTAGATTGGCTGCATGCTTAGCCAGTGTCTATGCCTGGACTCTTCCATTGACAGCACACTGACAAGTCCAGGTTTGCCTTCCTGACCCTCCTCTCTTTGGGCTGGACATGGGACTTTATCTCCAAACCTAGACACTGAAGAACTGGGTCTTCCCAATCATCCCTCAGTTTCCAGGGTGTGAAAGCCAAGACTGAGGGGTTCAGACACCTGGGAGCTCTCCAGTCGATAGCCTCCCCTTCTTGGTTTCTCTCCAAACAACCTCTTGCCCACTGGGACATCAACATTCTGGCCACAGTGGGCCTTCCTGTGGCCACAGTGGATCTTCCTGTGGCCACAGTGGACCTTCCTGTGGTTACTTCTCCAGTTTCCAGCTTCATTAAACCACATCTGTCATAGCCTCAGCACAGGTCCCAAAAGCTCACCTATGTCTTCCACAAAGTCAAATGGTTTTATTTACTCAGCTGATGGCAACAGAAACCTCTCAGATTCGTGGTACTTTGCCCCACACCTTAAAAGGACAGAAATGATTTCAAGGGTGAGTGATTCATCTCCTCACCAGCTTTCATCCCCCACTTACTGACTCCTATATGCCCTGAATCATTCAACAGTGGCTGCGGTGGTGGTGGCAGTGGTGGCAGTGGCTGCGGTGGGGGTGGGGGGTGGGGGAAGGGAGAATGGTAAAAGTAGCTTGTCACTTACTGAAGACTGTGTGATCACTTGGCAGTAAGCCCCCTGATGGTAACTACCTTACAGAGGTTAAGGGGCTGAAGAAGAAAAGCAGCTTGCTCAAGGTCGCACGGCTAAGCAGCTGGGTGTGGTGAGGCGCTGTGGAGGAGTACAAAACCTGGCCCAAGAGTGGAACTCAAGCACTCAAGTTTACGAAACTTTAAACAGAACTTAAATGAAGAAAAAGAAAGTCAGCGGAGAAGCCAGACAAACCGTGGGGAGGCCTTAAGGAGCTGTCGGGGAGCCAGGGCAAGGCGGGGCTGACCTGACCCGGGGGAGCGGTTCGGGGCCAGGCCTGGAAGGACGACCCCCCTGTGCCCACGCGGCGGGCCGGGCCTCACCTCCTTCCACCTGAGCTGCCGCAGGCTGATCTTCAGCGCGTCCAGGGACGTGCGGGCCTTGGAGCTGTCCACGGTGACCGGCCGCAGCGAGCCCGAGCCGCGCCGGTAGCCCCGGCTGCGACCCCGGGTCTTCGTGAGCTGGTACAGGGCCCGCGCCGGCCTCGGCGGGGCCAGGGGCGGCGCGGGCGGCAGACGCCGGGCGACGCGGGCATCGCCTTCCTCGGCCGCGCGGGGTCGCGCGGGGGCCGGGCCCGCGGCCTTGGGCTGCTCCTCGCGCGCCGGGCGCTCGGGCTCCCCGGCCGCGCCCGCGTCCACGCCCAGCTGCTCCTCCGCCTCCGCGGCTTGCGACTTGGCCGCCGCCGCCGCTGCCGCCGCCTCTGCCGCCGCCGCCGCCTCCGCCGCCGCCGCCGCCTCCCAGCCGGCCGCCAGCTCCCGCTCCGGGCTGCCGCGCCACATGGCGCTCAGGGCCGGTGCCGACGCCACAGCCACCGCCGCCGCCGCCGCCGCCGCTCCGCCGCCTCAGCGCCTGACCAAGCTGCCGCCGCCGCCACCACGCGCTCCCCGCCCGAGCCCGTTGCCATGATCGCTCAGGCTCCTGTTGACAGGGATATTCGGGACGGGGCCCGGGAAGGGACAATCGCCCTCCGGGGCACCGCGACCTCACAAGCGAGCGCGCCCACGTGACTAGGCCTGTCACAGAGGCGGCGGCGGCCATCTTGGAAGAGGGCGGCGAGCGGCCAAGGCCCAAATACCTGTGGGTGAGGTTGAGGATAAAAGGTGTTGACCTCCTGTCCCGCTCCCGAGCCTGGAACAGGAAGAAGTTGTGATGTGCCACATCTTTCACAAACACGAGATCCAGTTTCCCTAGCCCTACACACACTGGAGTAACTCCAAGCCCACATCCATCCATCCACCCACCCATCCATCCATCCATCCATCCCTTTGCCTCAACTGAGATGGGAGGCCTCCTTTGTCGATTTGCAGGTATGTCCTACAGAATAAAGAAGCCTTACAGATTCCCAGATGCATAGCGACATCGACAATTTTTTAAAAATATAATACATATAATTACCATTTTAACTTTTTAAATGTATTATGTATGTGTATAAGTTTTTCTTTTTCTTGCATGCACGTATGTGTACCATGTGTACACCTGCTGCCCCAGGAGGCCAGAAGAAGGTATCAGACTCCCTGAAACCTGGGTCAAAGAGAGCTGACTACCTCTGCCTCCTGAGTGATGGGGTTAAAGGTGAGAGCCACTATGCCACTGTGCCCAACTAAGGTTGTCATAAAATTGTGAAGCCAATCTAGAAGGGCTCTCCTCTCTGGACTAAGGGAGCCACATTTGGGTTGATTTGAGGTTTCAGGAAATAGAGTTAGAAAGTTATACAGCAGCCTATACTGACCAATGGCCATGATGGCACTTGGGTGAGTTCTGCCTCATTTAGTTTTAAGGGTTCTGGAGGAAGGTGGCCGCTTCTCCCATTTCTCCAGGAGTCTCATTTCCTTGGCCAGGAATTTCAGTGGGCTTCAAGAGCGGCCATGGACACTTTTCTTAAGTACCTGTACTTAATGAAGCAGAATCCTGAGCCTTTCTTCCAGAGTCTGTGGCACAGAACAACTGGTTGAGCCGGTGGGTGCGATTGTTAAAACTGCTGCTCTGCTAATCAATGTCCTGGTGGGTTTTTGCTAGAGGCCTTTGGATCCTCCTGGAGCTGTCCATGGTACCCAAAAGAGGCCTTCCCTGCCCAGTCATTCTCTTTCCCCCTCCTGCACCCCAAATCCCGTCCCCCCCCCCCGGTGTCTCCAGCTTCAGTAGTTGCCAGCACCCTCATTCACTGATGTTTGAAAATTGACAAGGCTTAACAGACCCCACTCTCTCCTTTCTTAAAGCTAGTGCAATCCTAAAGTCTTGTGACTTTTACACTAAGGATTTGTTCCTCTTGCTTATTCTCACTGTTTCAATCATCCTGTCCCTCTAGTCTGTTGCAGCATCCTCCTCATGGGTGTCTATAAATCCTCCCACCCATTCATACTGCAGCCAGTACTGCTCCCTCCTTGCTTAGAAACCTCTCCTCAAGCCCGTTGTTTCAAGACTCTTTCTGATCCCCATTCCTGGAATCACACCCTCTCTTTGCTTCTGTGACTTAGCACACACCGTTCCCTCTGCCTGGATCCTTCCTTTGTGTCTCTGCTTGGGAAACTGGCTCATCCTGGATGCTGTCTTTTTGAGCACTTTTTCTCAGTACCCTCCGGAAGTGGTTACTCTGTGTACTGATGGCATCCATGATATCCCTCCACAGCAGCCTGGCTGTCACATCATAGAAAAAGCATCTGGGTCCCTTCCATCAGTCTAGGCAAGGACAAATATGAACTGCTTTCTCCATAGAAGAGGACATAACATAGTGGTCTGCAAAAAGCAGTGTGAATGAGGTAAAAAATTGTTTACAACCTAGCAAATCCGGAAAGGTCAGCCTTCTGCTACAGGGCCTTTACATGTGCCCTTCCTTCTGCCTAGAACATTCTTGTTCTCCCACTTCTTCATGGTAAATGATGGCCCTGCTGAGAAGCCTCTGATCTCCCAATCTAAAACAGACCTCTCTGGGCTGAGATAATTATAGAAGAGAGGAAGTCAAGATGAAGCATGAGACTGCCCATGGCAAAACAAACAAACAAACAAACAAACAAACAAACAAACTACTCAGGAGTTCCAGGAATGCTAAGTTTCCTGAGAATTAAAAGTCACTCTCTACATCAGACATAGACTATATGCTGAATCTTGAGAATGTGACAGGCAGAAATTTAGATGAGGTGGCCACTGCGGAGGCCATGGCCAGATTCAGTAGAGAAGGAACAAGATCAGGCTCTGCCCACTTAGCCACATCACAGATGTCCACCAGTGGAGGACATCCCTGTTCCAGGGCCAGTGGAGGGCCTCACTGAGAGAGGGGATAAGGAAAAGGTGAGCATGGATGCAAACAGAGAGCATCAGCTGACTAGAGCAGATGAAAGCCAAGCCTCAGAAGGAGCTGCAGGGCACAGAGTGGCTCCACTGCCAGGGGCTTTGGGCATGGCAAGGGATACCTCTAACTGTTCCAGAAGCACCCAGAATGTATTAGTGGGCATTCCAGCCCTGTGGAGAAGCCCAAGAGAAGCAGCCAATGTCACCGCTGGGAGCAAGAGCAGGTTGGCGTGAAGGACCACCTCACACCTCCAAGGTGGGGGCTTCTTTTCCACGACTGTGGTGCCAGTCTAGGGGCCAGAAGTGAGAAATGATCTGTGGGTCAAAGTGACCCAGTGCCTAGCAAAAAGGAGGCACTCAGTAACGTATGAATGAATGAATGAATGAATGAATGAATGAAAATGTACATGGCTCAGATATTCCACAGTAAGGATACAGTTAATTTGGCAACTGCTGTCTGTGACAGCCTTAGCCCTAGAGGAAAATGTCAGTGATGTGACATCAAGGGATGCAAGCACTGTAATCACTGTTTAAAAACTGCCTAACATAAAGAGGGCCTGGAAGAATTTAAAGAGAAATAGGAATATCTGTGGTGCTGGAGACACGGGATCTTGTTGAAATTTTTCCTTTCAGTTTTGTATCAGCCTTTTGGCTTTTCATGCCTCTGGGCCCCAAATCAACTCTATTTCTGGAGGTTGATTCAAGGAATCAGAAGACAAAGTTTGCATCCCAATCAATTGTTGGGCTCTATGGCAGGCCCGGTCTGATCATTTTGCAAATGTCCTATCATTTCACTGGGACAGCTCCAGGAATAATGTTTTATAGACAGTAAAAATAAGTCACTACTCATTTACCCAAGTCACACAGTCAGTAACTGCAAACACAAGGTTCTAAACCAGGGTTAGCTCCCAGCATCTGAGAGGCTTCTCCATCCAAGTGTGTGTGTGTGGGGGGTGTGTGTGTGTAGAGGGAGCTGTGAAAATATGTAAAGAGCATATTGAGAGAAAATTACTGAAAGTTAATATTTCCAAATATTAATTACTAATCTAGGTTGTACCTCTTAAGTGTGTCATATTTCTTCTTTTCTATGCCTTCCAAATTTTCTGAAACTAGCATGTAATTTCCTTTCTAACTTGAAAATAAACTTTAAGTAAAATTAACTATTGCTATATCATTTTTACAGCAGGTCCACATCTGGAAAGACAGGAAGTCTAAGGTAGCACAAGGGCTACTTTTATGTCAGCCAGATTTTTTTGTTTGTTTGTTTCTGTCAATGTCAGCCACCAGGTGGCGCTCGAGGCCCGATGTTGGAATGGTTTGCGGTTGATGGACAAGGAAGGTGCCTACAGTATTCTGTACACTAAACAGCTGCCATCTGCCTCTCACAGAGGCACACGCTAGACTTGTGACAGCTGATTCTTCTGCCTGGTACATCCTCCTGCCTCTTTGTACTTAACCCCACCTACCTTAAGTCCCAGACTTAGTTAAGCACGTTAAGGTTTAGTTAAGCACCTTAAGGTTCTGATTAAAAAAAAAAAAAAAAAAAAAAAAAAAAACCCTCCTCCTCTTAGGCTGTGGCAAGATACTTGACACGGCATCTGAAATAAATTTTAAACAACTCCACATCTTAAGGACCCATGCTGTCCACTATCTACTTGAGGTGAGAATGGGGAATAGTCCCAACACAAAAGTGAAGGTGGAGTTTCTTTCCCAACTGGTCCCGCAGCCATTTCACCCCCAAATGAACACACAGAGGCTTCTATTAACTATAAGCTGTTGTCTGATGGCTCATGCTTCTTAACTGGCTAACTCTCTTTTAAGTATTAACCCATAACTACTAATCTATGTACTTCTACATGGTTTTATCTTCCCAGAGAATTTCCAGCACCCAGCCTTCTCCTAGTCTGGTAATCCCATCTAAACTTCCTGCCTGGCTACTGGCCAATCAGTGTTTATTCATCAACCAGTTAGAGAAACATATATACAGAAGAACATCCCTCATCACAAAGTCCACAGCAGTTGGGACCTGCTTCATGGCAGAGGCTTGAAAATGCCTTGCAATGTTGCACAGTGAATGACTGACTCATCCTGTCCCCACACAAGCCATGAGCAGGGGTAGGAGGCAGGTGCCTGAGGAGGGGACAGATCGAAAGCTGGGAAGCCCGGAAGAAACAACAGGGTCAAGGACTCCCAGAATGTTGAATGGGGATGGAGGGAGTTTGAGGGTGGGTTGGGGGTTTGGGTGGTGTGCTAGAGACATAGTGAGGCTTGCAAGCCCTTCTGCACAGGCATCAGTGTCTCTGAGAGGGTTTTAAGTGAGGGGCTGGATGGTCAGGTTTCTTTTCCAAAAATGAATGAAACAGGACAAGCAGAAGTCAACACTCATTGTGGTGGTTAATTGACCCTTTACTTGATGGAATCTAATATCAGGTCTAGCATCACCCAAGAGGCACACCTCTGGGAACATTTGTAAGGAACTATCTTGGTTAGTTTAATTAAAATGGGAAGAACCACACTGAATGTGGCCACACTTTCTACCAGGAAGATAGAACACAAGGAGATCCCAAGGAAAAGCTTTTGTGTTTTGCCTGCTCTCTTCCCTATCTTGGTGAATGCTGCTGCCACCACTACCCTACCCCCATGCTTCCCCCCACCCCCATCTTTCACTGACATCAGACCTTAGCATCATCTTTAGCCTTCCAATCTGGACTGATCAG